CACAGCCAAGCGCAGGCACCGCGCGGGGCTGCGCAGCGGCCGCGGCCGCCCGTGATCGAGAGCGGCCACGCAGAGGCGGAGCCGGCGCAGCCCCAGCAGCGAGCCCACGGTCAGCACCTGCCCGCTGCGGGGCACCACGAAGAGCAGGCGGCTGCTGGCGCCCGGCGGCCAGGGGCGGTAGGTGAGGCGCGCGTTGGCGCCTTCATCACCGTCCGAGGCGCGGAGCCGGGCCACCTCCGTGCCCAGTGGGGCCAGCTCGTCCACCTCCAGCGGCCGCGCCGGCGACAGCCGCGGCCGGTGGTCGTTGCGGTCCAAGACCCGGACCCGCAGCAGCGCCTCTCGGGGGGACCGTCCCGCCCGCCGCCGCAGCCAGAGCCCGTACTCGGGCTGAGCCTCCCGGTCCAGGCGCTCGGCCGTGAGGAGCAGCAGCAGCCCCCGCCCGCTGCCCGGCCACCGCTGGACAGAGAAGAGCGAAGCGCCGTCTCCTTCCAGCGCCCACTCCCCGGCCGGCTCACCGGGGCCCAGCAGCCTCCGCAGCGGCACCCGCAAGCCCCGCACCCGGGTCCCCGCCGGGCTGTTCTCGGGCACCTGCCCGGAGAAGCGGAGCAGACGAGGGGAGCCCCCGCAGCCCGGCCCCGCCGCCCCGCCGAGCAGCGGCAGCAGCAGCAGCAGCAGGACCGGGAGCAGCCCGCAGCCGCCCGGCCGCACCCGGCCCATCCCGCCGCTCCCGCCGAGCCGAGCGGAGCCCAGCACCCCACGAAGCCTCTCTGCGCCGCTCTCGCCGCGGGCACCCACGACACGAGTAGCCCCGGCCAGTGACGGCCATGGGCGGGACGGCCCGCCCCGCGTGGTCGAGGGGGGCGCCCGCCCGTGGCAAAGCCTACAATGTTGCCGGGCCAATCGCTCATCTTCCCCCTTCCCACATTGCCCGTGACGGTAATCGGTGAGTGATCCCTCCCTGTCCTTGTCTCAGCTCATGAACCTTCTGTTATACGTTCTCTCTCTTGTCCAGTTTCGAAGGGGAGTGATGGAGCAGCTGTGGTGGGTGCCTGGCATTCAGCCGGCGTCAAACATGCCAAATGCATCCAGCTGCTTGCTCCCGCTCCTCCACAGGTAGAGCGGGCACAGGATAAGGAACTGTGCCTTCTAAGGGGGGAGGGGGCAATTTCGTGGAAAACGGCAGCCTCCTGCTCTCCTGAGCCTGTATTTAAAAAAAGCCCCAGTCAAGCTACAAGAGTGACCAGTAAGAGAAACACAGGAAAAACCACTGCTGCATAAAGGATAGTGGGTCTTGGGATATTTGAATCATTGAAGAATAGTTGTGACCCAGCAGAAGTGCTTCTCTGATGTAAGCTGAGCTTGTCTTGGAAGCGTGGCCTCTTAGAAGTGCACATTTTGGTTGCTGCTCCGGAAGGAAAGATGCAATTTTAGCAGAAGGAGGAAGAACAAACCATGTCTCAGCATACCATACGAACCCCACCACCAATTATCACTTTTAACATGTCCGTCTTTGGGCAAAATATTTTTGGAACAAGAATAGTGTTTGCTGTTGTTGGGAGGAACACTAAAATGATCCTTTCTAAACTCAGCAAGCAAACGTATCAGTTCTGCTAAACATGCATAAAACAGTCTGGGCATGGGAATCATTGCACTGGTTAATCTGTGATCAATGGAAGCATGAATCCAAGCCAGACCACCACAATGTCAATCACTCCCTGCTACTCATCAAACCATCTTTCTACTAATAAACAAGATCAACAGTATCTCCCTTCACACAATGACAGTAAAAGCTCAGGAACAGCCTTTTGCTGAGCCTCTGCATCCAGCTGGCCAAACTGTGTCAGTGTTGTTCCAACAGAAACATCCCCTCTTCCTATTTTGAACACGGGGTTGCTAGTTTTACTAGAAGGCTGTTAGGAGGGCAGGGGTGTTTGTTCCCAGCTGTGTTGTAACTTCAGTGATGACATATCCAGGCTGGAAGTGAAGCTCTGCTCAAGAAAGCCAGAACCCACTTCACTCAGCTTTAGTCAAATATTACAGGCAACAGTCAAAGGTGACAACCAGCTGCTAGATCTGCACCTCTGCCACTTGGGGAATTACCAGTGTAAGGAGAGGTAATCGTTGGGAGATCACATCCTGTTATTACAACCTGTTGGCCTTTATTTTTACCGCAGCAAGGGGAAGGGATGACAAGTTTCTAAAATTCAGCATCATGTGAAATCTCAGACTGGGACCGCAAAATAAAACCGAATGGTTTTACGGAATGGTTTACCAGTAGCAACAGGAAAGTAACCATCAAGATCCATCCATTGTTAATGTGCTGTAGCAAGCTTTGAGTGCGTTATCTTTGCTCTTTGTGCCGTAATTCCTTCCTTCACAAAGGCACTAGAAACCTCATTAACTTACAACACTTAATGAGCCAGCCAGACCATGCAAACAAATGTTCAGGTTAGGACAAGCTTAGATCAGTATGGGGACACAGTGCAACATTCCCTCTTCTAAATGTGATGCATTCTTATAAAAACTTCCAACAAGCAAATTAAATCCTCTCAAAATCAAGTACCCATTTTTATCCTACATTACACTTTCCACTACCCTTTCTATTCTCTTATATTGAAGCATTTAGAAACATCCAGTTTTGCCTACAGCCTGTGAAGTTATAAACTGGATTTTATTCACAGTCTTCTCTCACACCCATATATTGTTAATACGTTAACACAGCATTTCGGTGATGCAAATTCCGGCTTCTGCTGCATGTCACTCCCATTGCCCCAACTAAGGCGTATTAACCAGAGCAGAACCAGCAAAAACCTTGCCACTGCAGACAATCAGTAACACAACTCTGTTATTTGCAACATTCAGTTACACAAAACCAGTACTATGACAAAACAAATGTATATATATTTGTGGATGCAGATCCTTGCAGATCCTACCCTACAATTTAAAGAGACACAAACACACTTGAGTGTAGCCACATTTTCCAAAGGACTGTTCCTGCAAAACTGAAGCAGAATCCACAGAGATTGATAGAGGGTTAATCCAAGACGTGATCTCAGTAAGGGTAGCAGAGATGGCTCTCGACTTTGATAGGAAACAACACAGAGAAGAAATAAATACATATTATTATTTAAAATAAACTCCTTAGGTATCTTCAGGACACTGCCAGCTTCTATTGCCAAAGAATCAAAATTAAGTTTTGGGATTTTTCTCTGTCAAACCTTACCTAGTGAACCAAGGACTGTGAAATGTAACCATTAAAGCTAAGAACTGCTATTCAGAGGCCAAACTATCAGCAAGCCCAACAGCCTTCCTCTGTCCCTCCCTTGCAGCTGGGACAAGTCCCTAGAACGCAACCAGCAGCTTGGACTACAGCTCAGATTGTTATAAAATGGGTCAACCTGGGAGGAGGAAAAAAAACCCCCAGAAATAAAGAAAAAAAAGCAGCAGCATTTATCCGGGTGCTAAAAATGCTGAAATAGATGCAAATGAAAGTGTGTGTGTTTCAGAAATAAGTTTTCATGATGAAATGAAAAACAGACTTAATGCACCTTTCTAAAATTGCATAAATGGTTTAATCACTTCTGCCGCAGTGATTTTGTATTATTGCCTGGAGCTGAAGTCAGATCAGCCATGGAAACCACAGGCACTCTTTACAGCATCCAGCAATTACTCCAGGCAGACCACAGCTTCTGTGCTTGGGGTCTCACTGAGAGCGTAACATGGTGCAGTGAGGAGAAGGCAGCTGCATTCTTACCCATCCTTTGTCAACTTATTTCAGAGGGCAGAATGGCTTAAGGTATCACTTCATATTCACCCTCATTTTACAGACTATTCTGGTATTTATTGCAACAGTGTAAAAAAAAATCAGTCTTAGTATGTTTTAGGTCTTTCTATAATCAGTCAGTACAGTACCAGCAGGAGTCAAGGCTCATGGCAGACAGTACAGTTGTAACTTTGAAACAGGAAGAAATTCCAAGGCATTGTAAAGCTGCTTAAAATTCTGAAAGTAAATGTATATACTGATGGTGGGTTATAACACACTGAATAGTTGTGTAGTACTCAGGATTGCTTTACATTTGCATATTACACACATGCAATTTAATTCATAATGAGATGCATCTCATCCCTGTTAAAAAATGTTGATCACATTTGTTATCTAAGCAACCTGAAAGCATAGAGGGATTGAAATATGATAGTCTGAGTCACAGTAAAAATGGGAAAATCTAGGAAACTTGGTCCTACAAATAGATTACAGAGCTACCACTTAAGGAGCTATGTAATAACCCAAACCAACAACAGTTTTACCTAACACATCTGAAACATCAAACAGAATATGTATTTTATACAGAGATAAATACACATATAAAGTACATACACACATTTTTAAATACACTTATTTATAGACACATATCAATACAAATTCTATTATATATAAAAAAATATTATCTATTTCACAGCTGGTAACCATGGTCTCAGTTTTGCATAAAGACATGGAACACTACACAGATGCCAACATGTATTTCATGTTACTGGGAAGCTCCATTCCCCTTTCAGCTAAGCAACCATGAAGTCTGGCTGTTTGAATGGATAAACCTGAATACTTCAACATCAGCTCATTTCCTGACTGGTCTAAAAGAAAACAGTCTGATGAATGTTCAAACTCAGAACCACTATAAATTAAAGACGTAAATACATAACTTTTTTCAGGTGCTAAATGATCAGTTTTTGGAGTAGCACTTCATGGATTATTTCTACCATCTTTGGAATTTAACTAAAATAATACCAAGATTTTCATATCATTACATGCTAAATTATAACAAAGCAATCTGCATTTAAATATTTCACTCCTATTAATAATATCTTATAAAATGACAGAGGGCTCCAAAATATGTAATTATGATCTGTAAAAGTTTAAGACAGATAATACATTAGTTGATTAAAAACAATTAAATCAGTAAGCATTTGACGTTGCATAGCAATTTATTTCCAGGTGACAGAGAGTTTCCAGAAAGTCAGAGTTCAATAACTCCATATGAAGCACCTCATCTTTTGCCGCTCATCCTCACACCAGTATGTCTCAACAGGAAGTCACAGTCAGCACAACATATGGATCCAGTCTCAGCAGGCTGCTAATCCTCAAGAGTTGCAAGACTATTTATACTGCCCATCATGACAGACATTTGAGCTACAGTGTACAGTCTTCCCTTGACTGCTCAAAAGAAAGCATAAAACGGTTTGTGTCCCAAACAATCCACACTTTCTGGACTTGGCTTTTATTAATTTTATTTTTTTTTCCCACAGAAAAAAAAAAATTTGTTACAAGAGAAAAATACTTACTATGTATACATCATTTCGATAAAAAACTGTCCAAGACAACAAACAGGATAAAAGGAATTGGATTCCTTAGATTTGTTATTAAATAGCTGCACGTAGGTAAGTCCATATGCCATACATGCAACTGCTAAACACCACTGTCAACAAGTAAAGCACCACCAATAATTCTTCTGTGTTACTGAAGTAACAAAGTTGGAAACTTTGAAAGGCATTAAACACCCACCTATTGTCCCATTAAATAAATAGGTAACCTTAAACATCACTGAAAGGCAGAACTACATACATCTAAGTGCACTGAAATCAAAACCATTGCCAGATTAGTTATGTATTTAAACATATCGCTGAGGTACAAAACAATCCAGAAGACCTTTAGGCATCATTAG